ACTTCCACAGGGTAGCTCCTGCATTGTTCATACTGGGGATCAAGCCAGCAACTGGGGCATGTTCCCTTGACCAGAATCGAACTCTGGGACCCTTCAGTCCGCAGGCTGACACTCTATCCACTGAGCCAAACCAGCGAGGGCTGGTCGATAGATTTTAATGGCTCACAGAGGAGTGTGTGTCTTCTCACCTCAGGTCTCCTTCATTCTCTTGCTCCCTTCCGGTCTTCTAGTCCCACTATCCTCTCCACAGTCCTGGTAAGACCCAGGCCAGGGCGCTGTGTGCTGCAGCCAACATGCAGGCTGGGGCCACAGTTCTCGCCTCCGGTGCAGCCCTGTGGGCGGTGTGAGTCCCTCCAACTTTGTTTCCACTTAATTGCAATGATGTGCTGTGGCACAGGCTGGCCGGGGATGGCTGCTGAGGCTGAGAGAGACAGAGGCAGAGCTGTCAGCCTCCTGGCTGGAGGACTTGCCTTCGGGGGCAGAGCAGATGGGATTTCAAGGAGCACAAAGGGATTCTCTGCTCCCTCAGAAAACACCTCCCTAAAACCAAGTGATCAAAGTTATCACACTGGCATTGTGACCTGTGTGCTGCACTAAAGACCGACAGCATGTCTGTGCAATTCTTGCCAAGAGCTCATGAGCTCAATCTACTCGTGTGAAAATACCAGATAAAGCCGGCATGCCTCAGTGGTTGGGCATCGACTTATGAACCAGGAGGTCACGGTTCTGTTCCGAGTCAGGGCACATGATGGGGTTTTGGGCTCTATCCCCAGTGTCGGGTGTACACGAGGCAGCCGATCAAGGATTCTCATCATTGATGTTTCTCTCTCTCCCTCCCTCCCTCTCCCTTTCTCTCTAAAATCAATAAAAATATTTTTTTAAAAGTAAAATAACTTACCAGGACTCTTCAAAAGTTTCAAGGTCAAGGAAGACAAAGACTCAGAACTGTCACAGATTGGGGGTGTTTAAAAAGACAGGAGAGCCATAACCGGTTTGGCTCAGTGGATAGAGCGTCGGCCTTCGGACTGAAAGGTCCCAGGTTCGATTCCGGTCAAGGGCATGTACCTGGGTTGCAGGCACATCCCCAGTGGGGGGTGTGCAGGAGGCAGCTGGTCGATGTGTCTCTCTCATCGATGTTTCTGACTCTCTATCCCTCTCCCTTCCTCTCTGTAAAAAATCAATAAAATATATTTTTAAAAAAATAATAAATAAATAAAAAGACAGGAGAGCCAAAGGCAATGTGGGCTTCTGGGATGGGCCCTGGAGCAACGGGCTAAGTGAAGTGAGGGCTGCAGGTCAGTCGGAGTGCTGCATGGTGTTACTTCCTGGTTTTGTACAGTTGGCCCTTGGACAATAAGGGTTTAAACTTACATAAAGACCCCCCCACACACCTTAAATGTACACTTGGTCCTCCTTTTCTGGGTTTCACATCTGCAGATCCAACCAATTGCAGGCTGAAAACAGGGCTGACTAGTGTATGTGCGTTGTTCTATGCCATTTTATTTATTCATTTTATTTTTTAATGCCATTTTCTCTAAGGGACTTGAGCGTGGGGGATTTTGGTATCTGCAAGAGGGTGGGGGTGGTGTTCTGGAAACAATCCCCCTCAGATACCAAGGGACACTTGTAGGTAGTTTTGGGGAGTCACAAGTTATACACAGACTGTGACTGAGCAGATGTGGCACCTCTGACCCCTCCGTGTGCAAGGCCAGCTGTCCTCTGGCTGTGAGATGTCACACCGGAGGAAGCGGGGAAGGGCACAAGGGCATTCTCTGTACTGTTGTCACAGCTTTTCTGTCAATCTAAAGTCATTTCAGAACAAAAATGTAAACACACACACCTCCCTGGTCCTTAGCTGATGTTGGAAAGTTGAAGTCTGGTTTAATATTTTGGTCCCTGCTTTCAAGGGACTGAAGTTTTCTAACCGTGTGCATGAGTGGGTCTGTGAGATTCTGGAGAGCAAAGAGGGGGCAGGTGGACACACGGGCAGCCGACAGGGGGCCTGAGGGGCTCAGTGCCAGGAGCACAGAAGGAGCTACCGACAGCTCAGACCCAGCCTGACCCTGGAAGGTCTGCAAGCAGGAAAGCGCTGGGGGAAGGGGGAACCAGGACTCAGTTCCCAGACAGCGTGCTCCACCCCGGGCTAGTTGGGGTTTGCCAATGCGATGGATGCACAGGAGGCCCTCACCACAGGTGTCCCAGCTTTGCCTGGGCACTGCAGTCAGAGCGCAGGTGTCCTGGCCCAGAGAGGAGGCGCTGGACCTGGGCAGAGGACGACCAGCCTGTGCGGCAGGGGCCTTGGCTGCCTTCTCACCCAGGGCAGCCCCACGGGGAGGGGGTTCACTGTGTCTGTGCCTCCCTCCCACGGCCCCCATGCCCATCCTGCCCTGCCAGCCTTACAACCCTTGCCCTGGGCTTTTTTTTTTTAAATATGTATTTTATTGATTTTTTACAGAGAGGAAGGGAGAGGGATAGAGAGTTAGAAACATCGATCAGCTGCCTCCTGCACACCCCCTACTGAGGATGTGCCCACAACCAAGGTACATGCCCTTGACCGGAATCGAACCCAGGACCCTTCAGTCTGCAGGCCAATGCTCTATCCACTGAGCCAAACCGGTCAGGGCTGCCCTGCGCTTTATCGGCAATGAAAAGGGAGGCCAGAGTCTCCCTCAGCTGGCACTGGGCACCCAAGGCGGTGCCCAACAGACCGAGTGTGGAAGTAGATACCAGAGCCCAGCCATCTGTGTTGGGAAAGAAGTGCTTTTTCACAAAAATCTGTTTGGCTGACATGTGGCAGGTTTATTGTTCTAATTTTTAAGTGAACCTATTTAAAATGTTCTGTTTTGATTTCTAATAGAGTAAATGCTGCTATAACTCACTGCAAAAGGCTCTTGGGTCTTCAGTAACTTTTGAGTGTGAAGAGGGCCTGAGACAAGGAGAGCCCCAATACTGCTGCTCTGAGCAGAGCGGTGCCTCCACGCCGCTCCACCCAGCCCTGTCCTCTGGGATAGTCCTGCCTCACACCAAGACATGTAGTAATTACAATGGCAAACGTTCAGGACACCCCATCCCCCTGCACCTCTTCCTAGTCTCCATGGCCCCCCTCACTGACCTACCACAGTGGAGACACATCAGACCCTCTGACCTCACGTGTAAGTCCGGTAGCAAAGCTGGGAGAGATCACTATGGGGTAGGGATGCTGGGCTTGAAGGGATCCGAAGGGCCCTCCCCGAAGCAGCTGGGTTTTGTGTTTGGGGTGGAAGGGAGGTTGTTGATCCCACGCTTAAACGGATCTGGGCCAAGGCTGTTTGGAAGGCGACCCTGAGAGCATTAGTGCAGAGAAGGGGAGAAGAGAAAGCCGAGACAAGGAGAAGAGCTGAGAGAGCAGAAAACAGCTTGA